GGGCCCCGACCTGCGGTCGACTCCGTGGGAGTCCAGCGACATAGCCATTACGCTAACTGCTGGTTCCCATTTCTAATTTTTTTTGAAACAATATTGCTCAGTTTTTTTTTTTTTTGAGAGTTTTTTGCTATAGGGCACATATGCTCGCCAGAAAGTCAGAGAGACAGAAAGTGAGAAATCGCCTCCTCCAGGGGAGATGGGCACACCACAATCCCATCTCCATTCTCCTTTAGGAATAATGGGCACGCATGCACACACGCCTAGCGTGCGTTTAAGCCACTGGGTCCGGGACTCGAACCACGGTCCACTACATGGGAGTTCAGCGACATAGCCATTACACCAACTGCGGGTCTGCTCAATTTTATTTCTCTTTGTGTGAATTTATCTCATAGCTTGATGGAATTTTCTATAATTGATAGACATGTTATCATTTTTGAAAGGAAATAGGTTGAAAAAGTAAATCAGACCTAAAGCTTTGAGGGGAAAATTACCATCTAGTATATTCTCAGATTTTAGTCTACTTTTTCTTTTCTTTTTAAGGTTTTTGCTATAGGATGTGTATGCTCACAGAGATAGACAGAGACAGTGAGAGCGGAAGTGAGAAATCATCCCCTCAAGGGATAGTCACTCCGAAATCCCTTCTCCTCCATTCTCCTGGGATTTTGGGCATGCATGCACAAGTGCCCTGTGTGATTTTCAAACTGCCTGGTCTGGGACTCAAACTGTGGCCAACCATGTGGGAATCCAGTGCCTTAACCACTAAGCCACCTGCTGGTCTCTACCTTTGATTTTCTTCTTTGACAGCATTTTTATGATTTAAGATGTCTGAGGGAAGGAACCATTTGCATTCTGGGAATTTTAAAAAGACCTAGTAATAGGCAACCCTAAGATGTGGTCTCTGTAGAGATTACACTAGGATGCTATTCTTTATACTTTTTGTGTTCTTCATGGTTTAAAACGTTCTTTAACTTTTAGTGCTGAGAAGAAGTCAAGCATATCAGATTTGAGTTTAAAGACTGCACTATTTAACTTTTTCCTAGTAATGTTTAAACGGTTTGAGTCTCAAGTTCAGCATGGAAAGAGCATAAAAATTTACGCAAAACACACATTTTTTGAGGGTGATAAATGCTCTGTTTAATCAAATACATTTTCTTTCTTGTCTTCCAAGTCTTTTAAACTTTAAAAGGCCTGTTTAAGCAGTTCGTAAATAAATCTATACCTAATTCTGCTCTCTAGATACTTATGAAGAAATGTGGAAAAGTCATTATTTATGAAACAATTACACAAGACTTACACTTCATAGGCTGCCAAGCTCCGAAACACAGGTACACAGAAAATACACATTCAAAATTCATGTTCATGGTAACGTGCGAAAGAAGTTTCAAAATGTAACCTTTTTCTTCCCTCCTCCCCCCTGCAAACCAATAAAACCAGTTCGGTACTCGGACTGATGCTTATTTTTTAAAAAACCTAACGTCCTGCTAGTTGCTCTAGGATAACCCTTCTCCCCCCGACCCTACCCCACCCCTTGCCCGCACACCCATTTAGACTGGTAAACCCATTTTGATTTTATTTCAAAGATTTTTTTTTTTTTTAAGCGAAGGCAGGGGACGGCGAGGGTTGCTAAATTTATCTTCTTCCCCAGCCACCGGGATGAAGAAAACACATTTACTGCGGGCGGGGGTCTGAGGGCCTGCAAACAACGCGAGCCGGCGCCTCGGCCAGGACCGGCGAGGACGGGCGGTAGGTGTCCGGGGAGGC